GTTTCGGATGACTTGGATTTTATGAAATAAAATAGGATTTACGTTTTAGATAATTTTGAGAGTTTTATAGTAGATCTATAGGTGAAATTTTGTGGATTTATGGTTATAGATGTGTTCAATATGTGTTGTGAATTTGAGCTCAATCTAATTGTTAAATTAAAGGATATTGAGGTTTAAGTGGATCAAGGTCTCAAAAAGTAGAATTTTAGATCTAGTGAGGATTTTTAAGATTTCTTGCAATCTACTAGTTAGATTGGAGTGAAACTTATGTGAGAGGATATAAGACTTATTTTCCTATGTGTATAAGAATTTTGAGATCAATCGAACGATGGAAAAGAGAGATATCGGCTCTGGAAGATTGGCATCAAGATTGGAGAAGGAGGCCAACCAATACCCGAGCACGTTTTTGAGGTTATCGCCTATTTGGTAATTCCGATCCTTTTCAAAAAAATTATGATTGTTTTAAACTTAGTTGTTAAAAATTATAAAAATTTTGAGTTAATATCAATGATTTATTCATAAGTTATTGAGGTTTAAATCTGTTGTAGGAATTACTAGGATTTGGTTAGGAATTGGTTTAGGATTAGGGTTCGGTTTAGGGTTTGGATATGGTTTGGTTTAGGATTTAGTATAGGGTTTAGGATTTGGTTAGGATTTGATTTAGGATTTGGTTTAGGATTTAGGATTTTGATTAGGATTTGGTTAGGGTTTAGTTAGGATTTGATTTAGGATTTAGGATTTGATTAGGGTTTGGTTTAGGGTTTGGATAGGATTTGATTTTGGATTTAAGATAGAGATTAGGATTTGATTTAGGATTTAGGATTTAGGATTTATTTAGGATTTGATTAGGATTTGATTAGGATTTGATTTAGAATTTGATTTAAGGTTTAGGATTTGGATTAGGATTTTATTACGATTTGATTTATGGTTTGATTTAGGGTTTAGGATTTGGTTTAGAATTTGGTTTACGGTTTAGGATTTGGTTTAGGATTTGGTTTAGGATTTGTTTAGGATTTGTTTAAGATTTAAGATTTAATTGATTTTGGCCTAAAGTTTGAATGAAGTCCAATAGGATTTTAACTATGATTAAATTAAGATTCAATTGAGATATATTTGAGAGATATTTGTGATCATTCTAATATTTCTTTAAGGATTCTTATTGTTTGTTTGAAATTTCTTTGAGGTTTCTTTGAATTTGATTAAGCTTGCTTACCATTATTATGGTCTAATTAGAGCATTATTAGTATTCTATTAGAATTAGGATTTTGTTATTGCAATTTCTATTCTTCCTTCCACAGCCAGGTGCTCGGAGCATTCTCAAGCAAGACTTCACGTATTATGACAGCGTTGTGTACAAAATTATGCAATACTTTAAATCTTAGTTCATTGCATGATTTAAGAGCCTTTACATTTGTTATTAGTTGAGATTGATAATGTTTCTTTATTTTTTTCATTTTTCGATGATTTGAAGGCATTGATTAATATCATGTTCTAACTCAAAGTAAATTCTATATTATCATGGAATAACTTCATATTCCACCATAATTTATTTTTTTTTTGGTGGTATTGAAAGAATAAATAAGAAAGATATTATTTTAACATTTGATATTTGAAGATATACTCTTAGACTGGAAGATTCCTTTAAATAATCCTTCTATTTATAATTCTATACCACTTTTCTACTTTTGGAGTATATAGCTAGTAGAGTCCTATAATAATCATCAAGTTTTGGAAACCAAATCCATAATGGAATTTGAATTCTTTTAACCACTTTTGGATCAAATTAGGGTTGCTACATAAGAAGGTAGATTAGATGCTTAGAGTAGGCTCTATTAAAGAACAGTTGTCAAATTTTTTGCTCCTTCAAAGGTAAGTATAAAGTAGCCTCAAATTAGCATGTGGATTTTGCATACTACCATTATCAGTGCTACTAGGTTTATATTGAGCTATTCTTAGAATTTGGTTCTTAAGGAATGTTTTGTAGGAGCGAGTCAATTAAAGAAATATGGGACATGGTTAGTATGTCCTTATCAATGAAAGGAAGAATATTAGAAGACATATTGGATCATAGTATTAAACCAAATAAGAAGAGCATGGCATGAACAATCTTAGGCATTTTTATCCAAGCCAAGGCTTATGCAAGTGTTGTAGATTTTGCTATAGCAGAGCTTCTATTTTTACAATGTACTATAGTCTAAGTATTGTCAAGTAGGATGATAAGTAAGAAATAATAAAGAAACCATTGAATCTATGCAAAAATGGATTTTTTAGGATTTTATGTACTTCATATTACAATGTTTAGATAGCATCGATTTTGGATTCTTTGAACAATTGGTAATCTCTTACATATACATCTATTATTTCCTGTCATTTTGTTGGTAGAAATTGTTGCAAAAAACAAGTTTTGTATTTAGGGAGGATCCTTGCAAGCACCTCTTAGATTAATTTTGTTTCTTTAAGTAGCATTTACATTCTATAAAACCCCTCCTCCCTATTTCAAGCCTTCATCATACACACTTGTACCACTTCCTATTACTCTTATTGTCATTAGTATAAGACTATTGTATGTACCAACAAAGAGTACTACCTACTTTGTATGTACCAACAAAGAGTCAAAATATTTTATTTTGGCCTTCCTTTAGATGATTAAATAAGAGCTTTTGAATGGGTCTACAAATATTTTGGATTTTAATTCTATTATTGGTAATTAATTAATAATATAATTAATAAATTTTATTCTTTCAAGATATAATTTTTTAGGATTTTATTTTATAAAGGTTATTTTTTAAAAAATAAATGACTATGGTGTTGAAATGGTTCAAGTAGTTAATTGTATCTTTATTCTTAAAAGCTTATAATTTATTTATTTTTTCAGATTGAAAATTCATCATTAATTATAAAGCAAATAAACTTTGAAAAAATTTAGAAGTGGAATTTTGTAATGCATGCATAGCCAATAATTGATTATTTGTGTAGTTTATACAATTGATTTAATATAAAAGATAATTTAAAATCTGATGTAAATTTTATTTTATATTATGTGAATATAAATAAATAAGTAAGTAAATAAAATAATATTAAATATTATATATAATTTTATATTAATATATTTATCTTCATATTTGAATTATATTTATCTAATTTTATATATTTTTATAATAAAATATTTAAAATAAATGTTATTAGGATAAATTTTAAAAAATTTAAAATATAGATATATATATATTTATATAACCTCATAAACTAACCAATAAAAATTAAAGATGAACAATTGTTTAAATCAAGTTTTTACTTTGGATTCTTGTAGTACAAAGTCATAGTTCAATAATACAAACTTTTTAATGCAAAGTCACTAATAATTAGTATAGTTGTTGAGATCCAATTGATATGTAAACATTAATCTTGTTAGGACATATAGCAACTTGGTAGGGTGCTACAACTATGCATTGACTATTAACAAATATGCTATGTACAAGTATCTAATCAATAATCTAATATGAACTATCTATGAAAATATAGGTAAAGTTACATAACATCCAATAAAAAGACATAATCATGTTTTATTTTTTTAGAAATAAAAACAACTTGGTACTAACAAGTATATACATGGGGTTGATGTATTTTTGATAAGTAAAACTAGAATGAGACATGAAATTAAATCAGTTCTTTTGAAGCTTCTTAAACCAACAAAAAAATAAAAAAATAAAAAAATAAAAAAAATCAATACTTAATTTTTTTCAAATTTAAAATATTTATTAAAATCATTTGGATTAGTTCAAAGTATGAACTATAGAATTGTACATATTTGGTATAATTGTTCCTCAAAAGGAGAAGATATCAAATAAATATATAAATTAAATTAAAATTAAAAGTTTTAAGATTTTTTGAGTCACATGCCACTGTTTTTGTTATCTTCAATATTAGCAAAGTACTTAATAAAATTGTTAGTCTGAGGCTCATACTTTTATACTGCATCTTCTAATTATTATTTTTTTCTGTTATCAAACATATTAATGTTCAATTTAAAATTTAAAAAAAAGATTAAAAAAACACAAAAAAAACACAAAAAACACGAAAAAAAAACGCAAAAAAACACAAACAAACAAACAAACAAATCAAAACAAATAATAAAAATAAATTAAAATACCATTACAAAAAAAAATGCATGATTTTAGGAATGCATATCATGTATGTGAAGGTAAACTGCATCAAAAAATATATATACTTACGTACTTACTTACTTTAAGATCCTTCAAAAATAAAGATATTTTTGGGTTAATAATCTTGTTAACACACGACTTTCTTTATGTTTCAAGGATCTAAAAGAATGTACATATACAATATTAGGTAGAGAAAGATAATCTTTTTTTGATCACTTCTTGGGTATAGCAAGCATGTAAAGTTTGATACTGTACCAATTTGTACAAGTTTATAACAGTGATAATGTTTTTATAATTATCCTGTTTAGTTTACTATTACAAAAATTCAATTTATTAAACCCACGTACCTTCTCTTGAGATTCTTCTGATGCAGTTTGTAGCTTTCTAGTAACAAAGTTATATTTCGGACATGCATTGAACACAATTTGAACTTTAATCATGATTTTGTATCGCAATAGTCTAAAATTTTGGTTAAATCTAATTTTTATTTGCACCAACTCCTTACTGCAATCATACAAAATATGCTTCAAGATAGTAGCTTCAAGCTTATCCTTGGTAGGAGGAGGGCAGATTTTATATGTAAATTGCTAAAAACAAAAACAAAAAAAAACAAAAAAAACAAAAAAAACAAAAAAAAAAAAAAATCACACACAAATGCACAAGTGTTGGTTGAAATTATTCTATTCGTATAGGACTACTTTTGCAACCGTGAAGAATTAAAAGAGGGTGTTAATATCGAATGAAAATTAGATATACCGCGCAAGATCTCAGGATGAACAAGGCCACAAAAACACAAGGCAGACGTTTTTACACTGCACACACAGATTCTCATATAAGATCGTCATGAATAACACACGAGAAAATGATTTGCAAACCCATCGATGAAAAATTTTGTTCTAAAACACAAAAGTTCTGTTTCCAATAAATATACAAAAAAAACAAGAAAAACAGAACAAAACAAAAAGACCTCACCCAACACTGTACAGAAGATGCATATTCCCTACCCAATTGAAAATTCATACTCTAGGGCTCGCATTCCTCAGGCTGTAAGCTGCCTCGGCATCCTAACTCTACAATACAGTACACCGCCATGGATCTGGGTGCCCCATTTTTGCTGTTGTAGAATCCGATGATGCAAGTTCTCCTGTTTCAAAAAATAGCGTAGAACAAGGGTTCAGGCTGTCAGGTAACATTCTTAATAAACAGATACCTCTTCTGTATCACGGCCTCAAACACGGCAAAATCTTTTGCTGCTGAAGCTTGGTGGCAACAAGAGTCAAGACCTGGATCATCCTACTGCAACAATTGGTACACTCATTTACATTAGTAGATCAGCGGGTAAAGGACAGCCCTCTTTCTTCTAGCACCTCTGTCCCAGCAAGTTTGCACCTCGCTTCTTCCAGGCAAGCAGTTTCATGTACATATACTTTCGTTTCGTGGCTCCCGATCGCAATTGTCGATCGCAACTCTGATCTCTGGGAATATCATTGCCATGACCCTGCCCACTTCTCCCAAGTCAGAGGATCGAGAGAGTGGCCGTAATACAATAGGAAGCTCAACAAAAAAAGATGACCCGCTATGCTGTTCAGTGACCGCGCTTAGCGATCTAGCGCAGAAATCACCATCCTGCAGAAATGAACGAATTATCCATGAGCAAATGCGATACATGTCCACGACACAGTGACTGAGGCACGCCATAGAATTTCAATCTACAGGATAGGTTTCTTGTGCAAAACGAAATGCACTCTTGTTAGCAGAGAAAACTAAAATGCACTCAAGCCCAAATTCCGCGAACAATTCCTTGTAGGCTCACCAGTCATATACTGTGGGGGAATTGGGCGCGGCGACTTGCTCAAATTCAGCGGAGCGGTTTCGCGACATCTCTCTGCCGTCCGGGTGAAACACGCTACGCCATCTCTTATCCTTTTCCCGAAACACTGCACAAACCAGAGTACTGCCCTCTGAGCACAACCCCAACTGACACTCCAACACAATGCAGGTCCTCGAACTAGCCGCAGCCCAAGAAACCATGACGCACAGACACCGTCACGTGCTAGTGACCACATAACAAACACATCAAAAACACGGAAAATTACATGGACATAGAGCGAACTATGTTGCGGATGGTTATTACCTGGAGAAGGTGATGACAGAGGAGGTGACACAGGGGGGCTGGATCCGTAGATTCCAGGAGAACTCATGGGAGAATCATTGTCCAGAGGGCGCAGCATAGGGGGGTTCTTGATACGAATGCTTTCACTGATACGACGAGCCTCGGCTTGAGAGTTGTGAAACTCAGCACTCCTCTGCCGCTCAATCATCCGCTGTGCAAACTCATGGTTGTCTAAAGACACGATGATATGCAGAGTGAAAGAGAGTAGAACCAACTCAAACATATCACCACACTGCTACGTAAAATCACTCCCACGGGTTGGTAGCCAACTCACAGAGCTCTCGCACCACGAACTCTTACGCATCTAGACCCGCACAGAGTCAACATCCCCTCCACTTTGCATGACAAAAAACCAAGTTCTAAGGCCAAGTTACTGGAGAATGAAGGGCAACATATGCGAGACGTACCAACTGGAAACACAACGGGCAAGCCGGCATCCAAGCGCTCCTCCCGAAGCTTCTTCAATCCCTTCTCTGGCTGGGGCCCCGCGACCACATCATCCCAGAGCTTGTCCAAGAGCCCCATTGTCAATAACAAATTACAAAAACTGGCCTCAAACAGACCCAATGACGATTCCAATTAGTCTCCGAGAAGTCTCGTCGAACTCGTCAGATTCAGAACCAGATACTGTCTCTCGCTTGAATCGCTCAAACACGACGCAACAGAAACTCAAGAGTAGGTGCAATCTGTGAAGAAGTGCGAGTCGGGTGATGTGGAGGAGTAACTCGCTGCAAGGAGCCCATGACGACGCCTTTCACTGCGGTTGATGGGGCCCGCTTTCATGCAGAAGTAGCCCTCGGTCTTGCATATAGGGCCCCTTAGCTCCACCCCCATCCCGTTTAGGGGAAAGGGGCCTATTTCCGTGGGTGAAGGGGGAACTTCTTTGTTTTCCACGAGTTTGGACTACTTTTGAGTAATGAGTCAAAGCCCATGGCATTGAGACTATTTAAATAGATTTGACACATGTTTCTATAATCATCAAAAAAATATTGAAATTTCATTTATTCATATGAATCAATCTGAAAAATATAAAAATTAAGAAGTATTTTAAGATTACTTCTAAAGTATATGTACTTTTACAATATAATCATTTTGGTCAGATATTTGAAAACTTTAAATTCATTATAAATACAATTCTGTAGGTACAGTTAATTTGCACAATGGTAGTTGTATGTATTTGTAAGTATGTGGTTTGTTTTTTGAAGCACACAATATTATAAAACTTAATCCTTTACACTTTAGAATATTACCCCTTCCTATCTAAACCAAAAAACATAGTTATAACAAGCAATTGTGTAAAATCTGAAGTTTTTCAAAGCAATAACTGTAAGTTCTACAATCAACAAGGTTTTTGGATCATCTCGTGATCTATATTGGAATTGAATCATATGTCATCTTAATCAAGTTTGCATGCAAAACATACAAGTACCAAAATATCAGTAATTATTTGATGCAAGTTTAGGTGTCTTTTTTGTTTGGTCACACTGTAGCAGAAATAACTAACTGATGGTATTAAATACAAGCATTTTATTTAAAAGAATTATGAAATTTATAGTTCTAAAACTTGAATTAAGGAAAATCTTAACAAAACAAAAATTAGAAAATTAAAACCACTATAATTTCAAACTTGTTTTTAAATTTGCTTAAAAGCTTTGATTTGGATCTATCAATCTTATCAACTGTCGAACTGTTTAGATGTATAGGAACCTTTTTGATATTTTGAAAATGTATAATTTACTTTATGATTATTTTATCAAAAAATATTATTATTGTTATTATTTTTATTATTATTATTATTATTATTATTATATATCAAAAACCAACACATGATCATGTTTTTTGTGTGTAATTTACAAATAAGTAAAACAAAACTTTGTTGAATTTGATGAATTTGTTTAGTCAATTCACTTTTATTTTTAAAATAAGTTTGCAACATATATTCCAAACAAGAATAAAATAACTGATATATCACAAGCTTGCAAGAAGTAGTATTTGTTTGTGATAAAATAAAATATTGCCTTTAATAAAAACTCAGTTATATTTTGGATTTTAAGTTTAAATTTTTACTATATATATACATATATATGGTATTTATGACCCAAAGATCACCATTTTTAATATTATATATCTATCATGATTTATTTATTTTTAATTACTTTATATTTCTCTATTAAGTTCTGCAACTACTATTAATTTCCTGTGAATACTTAATATCCTACACTCATTCAGAATTTTATTGTGTAATCTATACCGAATTGGTATGCCAAAACTATAAATGGAGATAGTGTCAAAGTAATAAGAAAATTATTATAAATAAGGTAAACAAATGTTATGTTGTATTTATACAAACCGTATTTATATTGTATGCATTTTTTAAATTTATACACACATATGCTTTATAATGACGCTTATTTGTTTGGGGAGAGAGGTTTTAATTTCTTATCATACATTCCATGTCATCATATCAAAAATGTTCCATGATATCATATCTTCAAAACCAACCAAAATTTAAAAATTTAAAAATCAATAAAAAAAATTCTGATAAAATTGATTGAATTAATGGTGTAATTGTAATTGGTATGTATGTATTGTATTTGGTATTGCAATACATACATTAATTCAATCAATTAATGTATGTATGTATTGCATTAATTGATTGAATTAATAACACCAAATGTAATACATTTCCTTCTCTAGAATAAAATAAAAATAGTAAAATATTTGCACATCACACAAGACGAATTGATAAATAAACAAAATCACATGGATGAAAAACACCTTACGGATGGAACCATGCGTGGATGAACAAAGAGATATATATATATATATATAATACGCTCACGTTGGGCTCCATTCTTCCAGTCTGACGTGGCATGTCCCACGCCACGCTGGCAGCATGAGATCCGTACTCGGAAATGGATGAATAAACCTTGCAAATGGATGATAATAATACTATGTAAGCTGGATGAGGGATTACATTCGTTCGGCCTCTGACCCACTGAACTGCAGTTCATCATACTGAGGAAGTCTTTTTGTGTTCAATTGCCCATTCTAAAGCCATGGACGATATCGACTTTTCGTTTCATTTTTCGTCCAAACGCACCTTTTCCTTCCTTTCGTGGGTCTCTGCATCTTTTTCATTCCCTGTGGATTTTATATTTCTTGTGTTCGGTCTCGTAGAATGGGTTTGTAAGGAAACGCTGCTACATTTAAAATACTGTGATTTTGGAACTAAAATTTAATTGTATTTTATTGTATGTTACTTGGACAGAAGATTTGGTTCATCGTAAATTGAATGCACCATTCAATAGAATGCATGCAGTGGATTTCAGATTTTGTTAAATGAGAAAAAAAAATGAAAAAAAAGGATGTAATTCAAAGAATCAATGTGTACATAAACTTAACAGAATGGATACATCAATCAGAATTTATCCCCAAATAAATTTAACTGAGATAAAGTATAATTATATATATTGGAAGTATTCAATTACATAAGCTTTTTTATTTATCAAATTAATTTTTAAAAGTATTTGATTTACTTCCTTGTGACAAACATTTATTTTATACTATGAGTTTGTTTAAATGAGTGAAACAAATTTATGTATTTTATAAGGGATTTTTCAAAAAAAAATATTAGTGATGTGTAAAATATTTTACAATATGCTTTGAATTAAAATTATTGTGATTATTTATATGATGTATATACATGGATATATATTTATTATTATAAATTATTGATAAAATTGTAACTCAATAATGAAATGCATATTTATTTAAATTACGTTATATTATTAGATAATATTATTGATAAAAAGATCAATTAATTTTCATGTTGTAAGACAGTTAAATTGTAAAAACAATGTACTAAAATAAAAATATTAAAATTCAGAGTCTTGCTCATTATCAATATTCAAATATCATAACATTATCAATTAAAAATTTTGGTAAAAATACTTTATTTATCTCTAAAGATTTAAAATTCGGTACTTTTATATTGCTGTATTATATTATAATACATCTTAATTAGGTAAATAAATTCATAAAGTACCATTAATTGAGAATATTATACTTCAATAAAATAAATCTATTACTCATAATTGGTTGTGGATTCTATATAAATTTATAAACTTTGAAAAACTAATATGTACATCATTTTTATTTATTATTAACATTACAGTATACTTCAATGTAAAAGGTCATAAAAGAAATGCTGCATTTTTATTTTTATTTTTTTAACTTCCATATTTTGAAATTTCAGATCTTCATATATTTATATATCCTAATTTCTGATACATATATTTAACTCAATCTAACTTAGATTATGTAAAAAGTAAAGAATATTTTATTACACGTATTGAAGATGTTATGGCTGTAATTTTTGTGTAACATAATCTTTCTATTATATTTTTTTATTATAAAAATAGAAAAAATAATAGTAGTAATTAAATGATAAGATATAATTTATATTTTAAATGAATATATATCTCGTGTTGAAATTGAATTGATATTTAATTGTGATTTGATTTTTTTAATTTATTTCATAGATATTTTGTATCTATTTTTACTAATTATGTTTTCTAGTGATTTAATTATAGTTTTTATGACAGTTTATACTTGTTACATTAAAGCATTTTTGGTTTGTAGATTCTATGGATTCTAATGTACTTGAAATTTTTATTAATATTTTTAATGTGTGTGTATTTCTTTATCACTCTGATTATTTTTAAATTTATTAAATAAATATTCATCTAAAATATGTTTCTTGATATCATGAAATTTAAAATATTTTTATGAATCATATATTATGTTTTTGAGAATCAACCCTTTTAAATATTTTGTATAAGTGACAACTAAGTCTGTTCTTTCATTTTTATCTAATTGTTATAAAAATTTCATACTAAAGTATTGTAGAATATACCATAGTACTAAACATGGAAGTCTAAAAAACCTATAATAACATACAAAAATATAAAAAAAATTTGTCATTCATAGAATAATGTTTATAAAAATGTGTGTGATACAGAAGTACAATTAACAGAGGACAACAACACTACAAAGGTGGTAGAAAATTTAAAAACTAATGAAAAACGAATTTTCGAATTTTTTAGAGTAATAAGTATATTCAAATTGCACATGAATAGTGGTTTGATTTTAAAAAATATATTCCAAATTTTAAAGATTATGCGATTTTAAAACCTACAGTACATAATACATTTAATTTAAAAACAAATATATTAAAACGACTATAATATTAAAACTCTAAATATAATAATAGAAAGTTAACAAATATTCTTTGTATAACAAGTATCCTTAACTTTTATTATATTTTATGTGTAAAATCATTCAATTAGTTTTATGATTATTAGTATTAAAAATTACATCCTTTTATTAATTTATAATGCAGATCTAAAATCGTGATTATTTTTAAGTCTGTATATTCTAATCTTCGTAGTCATTATTTTAATTTTTTATCTTAATTTGATTATAAATCCATAATTTATGAAATAAAATTTATTTGAAA